TGCCTCATGAGTTCAGAGAAGTTAAATTAAAATCAAAACAATAGTCAAAACAGCCGGCAACCGTTATTACCTGTGAGTCCCTGGAGACATACACTAGAAGCAGTCACAAGAGTTGATACGAACGACAAAGGCCGTTGAAATTTGGCATCTTGGGGTGACATCAATTGTTCAAGGGAGCCACCCAAGCCTCTATACCTTCTGTAAATTTTTTTGTAAATTATGTTTTGGGGGTTGTCAGTATCTGAGGAGCTAGATTGGACTCTTTGACACAACTGGAGTGACATGTTTTGATTTTCGCTTTCTCTACTTTACGCAATTTGTTTTCGGTATTTTTGAAGTGAACAAGGTTTGAGAAAGACGTAGTATCCTATATGAAGAATTGATCGAAGGTAATCAAGAAATTAATGCTTAATTTGAGCATATAACGCGCGAATTATCAGTTTCACCGACTTATGGCGTCAAAGTAAAATGAGGCATACAACAAAATTTTATTTTCCCGGTGGCTGGGATGAGGTCAATTGAGTCTATGGGTGAGCAAATCGGCTTACTTTGAGCGCTTTTCAACAAAAAGAAAGGATTTTTACTGTGAATCCACCTTTGTTTTTCGTTTTTCCTTCTTGGAACGATCTGTTTTTTTTGTTCAGGTTTTACCTCGTATATTTTATACCCAGCCTAAGCATGAACGCGAATATTTGTTGCAATTTCCGAAAGAAACAAGTAATCAAATAGTTTCGAATTTCGTTAATTGGAGTCCCAGGTTGACTTGACAGGAAAAATTATCGCTAATTCAGAGATATCGCAGCGATTACAGTCTAAGGTTCAGTCTATGATCAGGGTCACTTTAGCCATGATCAGGGCTAAGTCAACGCTGAATTAGCGCTAAATTTTCAGCTCTGATTCAGAGATGGATTTTCCCTGCAATAACCCTGAAGACCTGAATTAAGGATATCTCATTCCTGAAAAATTACTGACTAGCCATTAGAAATTTCGAGAGAAAATCAGTCATATTTTGAGGAAATAACAAAGAATCATAGTATAAAATAGTGAAAATCATGTTATAAATGGTGCAACAATGATCATGAAGTTTCTAGATGCTAGTTCTTTACCCCAGTTCACAAAATGGTTCCCAACCGACATTCTCTTATGTGTAACATTGTCTTCGCTTCGTACTTTTGTGCCTTTCAAGGGAAGATCCAAGTTAATTTTCACGAAATCCCGAAATTTTATCCGTCATACTCGCTCTTGAATTTAATAACTAATCGAGCACCAGCACATTTTTTAAAAATCTTCTTTTGTGTAAGGTATATTACTTGCAGAGACTGATACTGAGCTTTTGGACCTTTCAGAATAAAGTTTCTAATAACTTCTTCGATACCTGAGTAATCGGGGCCTACCATTTTTTGATGAGATTCTCGTTTTTCGTTGAGTTAATACACAGAAGCATTCGTTCTAATATCGAACCTTGTTAACAATAACTTAAGACACGCCTAAACAGCCACTCGCTGGTATTCAACCCTGAGAGACTCTTAACCTCAAGTATGAGTATCTGAGTCGTGAGAGAATTAGGAGATTTTTTGTCCAAAATCTTTTGTATCATCTCAAATTTAATATTTAAATCGTGGAATCTGCCATTTTCAGCAAGTTTATTAGCAACAAAAAAAGCTGTTTAATTGTGGAGTTCTGCAATTGAAATGCACTTGTACAGTTATTCCAGCTTCATGTGTCAGATTTTGGAAAAGTGAACTACTTTGTATGAAATTTTCAGACAACTTGCTACGGAAGAATCTTGCACTTATTATTTTGCAATCAAAAGAATTTTCATTGGAAGCTCTATCATTAAAAAATGAAATTTCAGTTCTGATAATTTTTATTTTCAACAGAAGGCTGGGCTTAGCGATATTCGACGCAATCAAACACACATCGGTTCAAACGTGAAGGACAAGTAACTCAACATGGGTCTTTGGATGGATTAAGTCTTTCAACTCACAGTTAATAACCTAACTAATAAAGAGAGTACCGTGATGATTCAATTTAGACGGTCAGCGTTCGTTTAGATTTTTTATCCAAGCTAAACTTCAGGGGGCAACTTTATCTTTACTGAATACAATAGCCTCACTTAACCATAACTTAATCTTGGTAAATTATCCGAATCATCATAAAAATCTAGATTATCATTCACAGAGTGAAGTACTGATAGCATGTTGAAACATAAACTACTTTACTAGAAAGTGCGGACGCATCTGAGCATAATATTTGTTCTTCGAAAGTAGAAAAATAAATAAACAACTAAAAAGAATACTTGAGTGTATCAAAATTGAACTCAAAAGGTTCTTGAAACAAGTTATAGAGAATTTTAACTTTGCCATACCTTTTTTGTCTTGTTATGATAAAACAAGTAATCTTTGTGAGAAATCGCAGCACTGGAAGCAAAAAATGTTAGTTGCATCAAGTATTCTGAGAAGTACAGCAAATAGTAAATGCGAGATCTGATATTTTGAGCGAATTGAACTATGAGCAAAGGTTGATAATGAAAAAATGTTTGTTCTCAAAAACCCAATTGAATTCAAAATCATTAAAATTTATGCCTCAACCATTAATATTGTTCAAACTATGAAAAAAAGGTGTTTCAATTACACTGAAAAACTATTTTTTTTTCGTTCAATTAGAAGCTGAAAAGTATCCAAAAAAAAAGAAAACGGATGGGGTTTTTCATATCTAAAAGGAACTTTTATCAGTCTCAACTGACTTAACTTAAAAGAAACAACTATTAAGTTAAAAACAAAGTCATGAATAAAGTGGAGAAAAAACTAGCTTTTACTCCAACTGAAAGAAGGGTAAAATTTTGAATTTAATGATTTTTTCCAAGCAACAATTTTTAGCACGAAAAAAGCCAGACATGGTTGGTTGAATTTTCAGGTTGATATAAAAATACCTTGACTAAAACATATTTGCTGAGAAAAAAATTTTGCGCCAAATTTTTATATCTTAACAGCCCATTTTTAAAAAGGAGTTTATTTTATAGGTGTCCTGACTATTTGCCCTTTTTCGTTTTCTATGCAGAGGTAACGAGCTGGGTTTGAAAAGAGCCTATGAAAACAACTGCGAGTTCAGCTTGACTCTCTTTTTAAAACCCGCTATGAGTTTTGTTGCAGCTAAATTAGTGGCACGAACGTTTGAGAGCGTTATTGAGGATATCGAGCATGTGGTGACCTGATTAGACCTTGAGCAGGGTTTGTCAGAAGTATAGAACTTTTACAATTAACTAATTTGCCTCATGAGTTCAGAGAAGTTAAATTAAAATCAAAACAATAGTCAAAACAGCCGGCAACCGTTATTACCTGTGAGTCCCTGGAGACATACACTAGAAGCAGTCACAAGAGTTGATACGAACGACAAAGGCCGTTGAAATTTGGCATCTTGGGGTGACATCAATTGTTCAAGGGAGCCACCCAAGCCTCTATACCTTCCTGCAAAAATTCAAATTGACTCCGCGAATCAGAAAATCATGATTGTTGAGGCTGTTGGAAAAACTCAGAGGTATGGTCGGAAGAAATATCGTTTTTGTGATCAGGGGCGAATCTAGGATTTTCTCGAGGGGGGGGGGGGGGGGGGGGGGAAGGGAGGGAGGGCGGATTTTCAAAAATTTTGCCGACTTTTTTTTAGGTTGAACATATTGATTTTCCAAGATCTCTCAAAGTAACAAAAAGACTCTGTGTTTGCCAAATTTTCAGCGGTGCAGGCAAAATTTTGAAAAAACAGGCAAAAAGGCGTTTTTAAGCTTCTCCCGGTAAATGTTTACCGAAAAATTGCGTTTTTTGGCGCGCGCTCTCCTCTCAAAATTAATACATATTGGCGCCTTCAGAAAACTTTTAGAGTGCGTCATCAAAAATGGATACCTCAAAATAGTTCAAAGGGTGATGACCCTTTTAGTCAGCAGGGTGCCACCCTAGAGGGTCCCAATTTGGAAGATGAAAAAAGCCAATAATGCAAAAACTGGCTTACCCTGTGTATGGGGGATTTTAGGGGCCAGGCAGTACCTGCAGTTTTCCATTTCCTTGCTTTCATGTTTAAATTTTAGATTTCTTCGAGTTTTTAACTAATGACTTCTTGATTAAGAGCCTTGTCCCCTTTTAATATGTTTCTCTCGACACGAATTTTAGGTTTAAATTTTGTGGCTGTTATTTTGTTCATGCATTTTTGAACTCGTTTTTATTTGGCACAAGTCTTAATGGTTCCACATTTTTTTTCAAGCGGAAATGTTCAACGGAATTATATTTCATCTTTATGAAGGCATCGTGTTCTACGAGGATATCAGAGAATCTGGGGCAAATTTTTTTATTTATTATCTGGTGCAAGATGTCACTGGCAAGTTGTCATTTAAGGCAAAATATAATAGGACAATTTGGGCTGGAACAAGTTTACTGGGGGCAAAATGACATGTAACCGTTCTTTTATCAGAAATGTTTTGACATCCTAAACTTCTCCAGATATTTTACCCGTGATCTGGTAAAATTTCAAGAGTTTTGTTGCCTGTGATTTTTTTCATTAAGTTAGGAGGGTATGAAAATTGCCATTTTTTGACAATGAACGCGCGATGTATTGTACAATGAACGCGCGCGATAAAGGTAGGAGGGTTAAAAATTGCCAATTTTGGTTATTGAACGCGCGATTCCAAATCGAATCAAAACCAGCTATTCGGATTTGCATTGATTTTTCTTACCACATGATTTTTTTTCTCTTTTTTTTGGAATTTCATCAAAGAACGGCTTTGCCCTGATACGAGCAGTCTTGTCATTAAGGTTTCTACAATAATTTTGCGTTTTATTTCGGATAAAGTTTATAATTCTGATAAAAATGTCAATCAAGGCAGTGTGATGTTTGATATTAAGATCATCAAATTCAAATCTCGGTGTGGCAAAAGAAGATTTTTATTTAGTAAAATGAAAATTCTATTAAATCAATGAATATTTTCTCAATTTTTCCAATCAATATTTCATTTCTGTTAGTCTGTGTTTTTGTCGCAGAGCTCCTCCGAAATTGTGTTCCTTCGTAACGGACTTCATGCATCTTCGTCAGTGAATATATTGGTGAAGCTGATAATGCAGAAGCAGATAAGACCTAGCACAGTAGATGCTGCTTGTGATAGAACTACACCCCATTTAAAAGCTCCTGGACCACCTGAGTTTTGTAAGCTATGAAGTGCTGATGCGTAGAGCAGGTAGCACAGAAATGATTCTGAACCCCACATAATAATAATGCACGCTTGCATTAATGCACTGTCTATGAATGGAGGATGCGGACTCTCCAGTGCAATAAGTGTCAGAATAGCAAATATTGTGCACAAAGTTGAAATAAGCGTAACGAATGTGATCTTTCGCTCTGCCGGTTTGAAGTGCGCAAATAGCCCTGTGAGAGGTAAGGTCACGCCCCAAAGGAGAACTGACAAAGTGTAACACCTTTGATTGTAGGCAAGAGCGGTGAAGGTGAAAAACGTGGGCGAATACGCGCAGAGACTTCCCCACGAAAACATTGCCACCCCCCACAAGAAGTATTTCTGGTTAGAAACTGCATTAAGTGGAGAATATTCGGAAATCTCTCGTTCAGCTGGTTTTTCAGTTTGAAATTTTTCATTTATATAAACCAGACACTGAAGGAAAACAAAAGACAAAGAAGATACAAATAATATTCCCAGAATAACGGAGAATGCAACTTGAGGTCCGAATAAAAACTCAAGCGACATTTTCGATATAGCACGTTCAGTCTCTTGTAGAGGTTGTGTGGGCTTGAAAGCCACGCGATACCCTTGTAGGCATGACATGATAGTTGTAACAGCTCCACTGGAAACTTGACCCACGATTCCGGCTGTCAGAAACGGCTCCGGGTAATCTTGTTCCAAGTGCATAAAAAACACAGTTGACCTCAAGGAATCGATTCCAAACAAAAGTCCAGCGTGTATTATAAACCCAATACTCAAATCGTAACTAAACAAACTAGTTGCTATCGTTTTGTCCCACATAAATATCAGGGAAGTGCCTATAATAACTCCCAATAGATTACATACATGCACGGTGTTTCGGAGCCCAAACTTGATTGCTAGAGGTGTCGCGAACAAACTCAGTTTCCCAATGCCATTTAGAACAGCAGTAAAGGCACCCAAATCCCATCCCTCTGGGGCGTAGGGAACCAAATATGGCAGCTCAATATAAATGGAGTCAATATACAGACAACAACTGATAGCGCTGAGCAAAAGTAACGCGAACACAATATTGTTGCGTCTATGATCTGGAAGAATCTTTTTAAACTTTTGATTTTCGAACATTGAGCTTAGAACATGTAAGAACTTTAAATGTTAAGGCTCGTGGTTTTCAACTTATAGTTTTCTTTTAAGTTTGAGAGAATGAGTTCACAACTGCACGCAAAATCAGATTTCGATTTTTAATATGCATGACGTTTTTGGCTTTTTAATGTTCTAAATGTGTAACACGATTAATGATTCTATATTATTTTCTAAAAAGACCAGTATCTGTCAAAAACGGATTTTTTTATGTACACGTACAAAAAAATTAAGTCATATCTTTTTGGCGTGTGACCCTTGTCTCGTTAATTGATATTCAAAGTTGTTTGTTTTTAACTAAAAAAGGAAGTCGTAAATTAGAACAGACGTGGTCAAAATTTTAAGAAAGGTAAAGCCTGACGCACATGGCTTGTAATTCGCAATCGTTTTCAACGGCGCACAGACAATTCGGCCGAAGACAATTCAGCCAATTTGAAATTCAGACAATTCAGCCAAAAGTATACAGACAATTCAGCCAGCTTTACAAAACGCTCGATTCGAAAGAAAAAATCGGAATTGAAGATATTTCTCGGTTTAAGGTCGCCGCTGGGCGCGTTACGCGCGCGTCGTCGCTTCGCGGCGATAACCGGCTCTAAATTTCGTATAGAGTCCTACCCTCTGTTGGCAAGCTCGCAACACGCTGGCGCGACTGCGGCGGTCACTCTTATTGGCTGAATTGTCTCTGGCTGAATTGTCTGCATACTTTTGGCTGAACTTCAAATCGGCTGAATTGTTTTTGGCCGAAATTTCTGGACGCGTTTTCAACAATTAAAAGCAGAGCAAAACATCGTGGCTCAAAAATACAATGATTGCAAATCTACAATCAAGTCTTGCTTTTATTGCGCTATAATTGCGATTTCAAACTTGACATTTTTTTTGTTGATTTTGCATTTACATATCAGAACAAAACTTTTTCTCCAATTGTGCCCTTACAAGGGCCTTACCGAGCAATTACAAGATCTATTTATTGAACATGAAATAACATCAATAATTTATCACTTCAAATAATATTTGTTTAAACTATTGTGATATGATTCAGCACTAAAAACACACGTCAGTTTTTTTCAACTTTGTTCAGAATGATTTGCAGATGAAAGTATTTAGGAATCAATTCGAATTCCGTGTGTCATTTAGCCGGCACAACACCTTGACCAGGAGTAGACCATCCGATATGAAGCAAGGTCGTCGGGGTCAGACCCGTGCCACAACATCCAAATGCCGTCTTGGTTGGCTAAAAGACAAACATGTACTTAACATTCCCCTGGTCGAGGTTTGCGATTTATGTTTCGATCGAGGCGGTTCGAACAGATGTCAGAGTTCGACCGAAAATCCATAGTTGAGAAAACCCTGCGTCGAACGCAGTCGGAATGTTTTTTTTTTTGGTCGAAAAAACTCGGTCGAAACGTTTTTCCTCGGTCGAACTTGGTCTAAATGTTCTTCCTCGGTCGAACATAGTCGAAACATAGACAGCTTGGGTCGAGTCGGTCGAAAAATATCGAGCCTGGGTCGAGGCGGTCAAAACATACCATTTTTGGTCGAGTCGGTCGAAACATAATAGGGCAACAAGCCGAAGGGCCAACGAGCCGAGAAAAAATTACAATTCCAATCAGCAAAACTAATGTGCAATCTGATGTAATTTACTTTACTCTGATGTAATTTCGTCTTGAAGATATGTCGGTTTTTAAATATGGCGGTTTGTTGAACAGTCGCCATTTCTTCAACCTATAGTTTTTTATAGTTATCTGTTGAGATGATGAATATTTGTTTGTCTGATTGTACTGTCCGCTCATCTCATTTTGATGTTACGTCCCATATTATTCTCTACTAAGGGTTAGTCAATGTTTCCCAGAACTTGTTACTCGAGTCGTGAATCACCACAGGTAACCGTAATGGTAAAGGGATAATTTTTTGTCTATCTTACCCCTGAAGTCTATGTCCGACCAGGAGAGAGTGAGTTCGGATCCGACATCTCTCGGGTCTACACTGGGGAAGTCGTCTGGAATCACGACTGCCGGCGCAAAGAACTTGCTCGATTCACGCCGTGCTTCCCACCAGTCCTAAATCCATCATTGCAATTTTTGTGACACTGAAGTTAATTGTGACACAGAATTTTTCCATGAAAAAAGCGGAAATTCGTTTAGTCTGGTGGCTTGTTTTTTGCCTCGATTAGGTTCTGTCTAAAATTGAATTTCCGGGGTAATATGACTAAGACTCCGCCTCTCAATTGACTGTTAAGTGGTTTGAGGACAATTAGGCTCCAGCTGGCTGTTTAAGGGTGATGTAACATTACTCAACCCAGAAATTAAGCACAAAAATAGCTTGCAATTCTTAACCAGGAAAACAACAGCCTTTTTCCCGTTCAAAGCTAGCAAAGCTATAATCAGAGCTTGTATATTGATTCTTTCTCTCTTTGCTAAATCATCTTAGCTTAACCTTAAAACTTTTATCATCGAGCGATCATTTGAATAATTTTAGCGCGAATTAGGGTCCTCCATGGCATGATAAATATTAAAACGGGAACAAATCGCAGTAAGACATCTGATAGCAATACTATTTTTGATAATTTATCTTAAAGTTTGCATGTGAGTCTATTTGGTCTTTAGCGTGAATTTATTCCAGGGCTTCAGTTATGCTCAAAATCTATTAAACATTAAACACGCCATCATGATCAGCGTCGTGACCATGACACAGCGTCGGCCTTCTGCCCCCCCCCCCCCCCCCCAAAAAAAAATCCGTCTTTGACATCATGCAAGGGTACCTGTGTCTGCGCAGATCTCCAGGTGATTCCGGCGTCGTCACTTGACAGGTATGCCATCATGCTTTGACCCACTGCGAACACCCGGAAGTGGGGGTCGAACAGGTAGCCAATAACACTGTGGATTATGTCTGGAAGACCTAGACAACAATAAACATATTTTATGAGATATTGCTGTTTTTATTCAAAATAGGGATATGCATAATTTTTGTATGAATAGCACTGATATTCTTTAAAAGCATTTGCGTTTTCTTAGACCACCTCCACCATTTTTCATCGTTTATTTTGCTAAAATGGTCATTGTAACCTGAAGTTTGAAAAGCAAGTCAAAACTGCGTTTCCAGAATCAGTGGGAAAAATAAAATATTTCTACGAAACTTAGAATTCTACAGAACTTGAAAATATGATTTTAGGCTATCACTCACGTGACCACACAAAGTGACCTGAAACTTCATCCATCATCATCCGCATACACTTGTTTGAACTCCTGTGAAAACACGCATCGATTCTTCACCTATCTCCGTTAATTCTATGTCATTTTTTCAAGTACAATTGTTAAATGCTACTGAAAAACTTTATTTCAAGCATGGGACTAGCAAACATATATTTTTCACAGACAAAGTAAGTGTGCTAATAAACACAAAATTAATTTAAGCAGCAGCAAAAATGTAATTAATACAAAATGGTTTTTTATTGTGTACCCGTGCAGGTCTTTTTCGCACACGTAGAGTACCCTCCTCTCGTGATCCACCAAGAATCCCCTGTCATAGGCCTCAGGCACCACCACCTTCTGAGGGCATGCTCCTGAAACAGTCTCTATGTCTGCTTTTGACATTTATAACAAGACGTGGTTTTCCTATGATTAATTAATATATCAAAAAAGTTGATTCCAAAAAAATCACCATCGAGGTATAAGTTCAAAAAAGCCAGGCTTTTAAGCAATAAATCAACATTGGAGTTAAATTTAGGAAGTTTGCAAGCGGAGAACCAAAACACAACAATTGCCTCAGCTCAGGACTAAAAATCATAACCTCGTCATTCAAAAAGTTCTTTTTATTTCATGTCGAAAAAGACCAAATGAAACTTTCTAAATCAACCAGTCAAACAAGCAAAACAGCCTTGAAGGCAACTCTCCTCCTTATAACGATCACCCATCTTGGCCCAAACTCACGTTCTATGCCAGAGTTAGCGTCGTGTTCCTTCTCCAGACAGCCGTAGATGTCGAATCTGAAGGCGGCGATGTTCGCCCTCCCGTCCAGGGTGTCTCGGTCGAGTTCGTTGAACTGCAGTCTCAGCCACGTGCTCTTGATCGGGTAGGCTATGTCGAAGTAGCGCAGTTTGTGTTTGCCGAATTTACCAAGGGGATGGCTCTCGTTGACCATGTGCTGGCAAAAAACAACTGGTCATGAAATTTTCTTTAAAGCTAGATTCTATATTTAATGAGCAATTTTCCAACTTTCATAGTGTTTATCATTCCAAAACAATTTACATTACTTTTTTAGAAACTGCAAAGAAGTCAACGAGGATATTAAAAACCTAACATTTCGCAAAAACATAGCTTTATACAATATATTTATCTGGCTCATAACTGTAATTGATATTAAATTAAATTCAAAAAGTATCTCGTAAAAACCTCTATCAATTTAATCAAGTGTTAAGGACAAGTTTCCGATATTCTTCTTTTTGAAACTTTATCGCAAATATTGATTGCAGCTTCATTAAAATTTTAATTGCGTTTGGAAAAAAACGGAGTCACATTTTCATTAGAACATTTAATACGTTTGAAAACAAATTTGCAACTGTACTGAATAGTACAAGAAAGGGTTCCGACCGTGTATGGCTTGTCCCTCTCCCTGTACTGAGTCCAGAACACCCCCTCCGGGTCGCTGCTGTAGAAGAGGGTGAGAGCAGAGACAGATGTCTCCTCGTTGAAGACCAGTCTGGCTAGCTTCCACTTGTCCAGCATGGCCACTGTCACACTCTGGCTGCCCTGCCACTGGCCATACCACGTGTTGCTCTTCCAGCCTATAAAACAAAAGAACAGAGAAATGATAACGCCATAGAAGCTCAAAACAATAATTTAAATAATTGATGACCAAGTACTTTTATCCAATATTTTTTGGCATTTAACATTAGTTAAAAACAAAAAAGTTATATAATGCCGGTCTGGATAAACTAACCGCTTATATTATTTTTTTCGCAACAACAGTTCAATGCACTATTTCAGTCTTTTTGATAAATTAAACAAAAACTTGAAATGTAAAATTAATTGCGGGATCACAGGTAAAAATTGAAAAAAAAATTTAAACTTTTTTGAAAAGTGTGAACTGACTGATCAAAAAAAGTGAGTGTCTAGGTAACTTTTTATAATATATTTTTTTAAGTACTGACTGAGTGTCTCGGTGGCGGGAGTGGCCTTCATGCGGGAGTAGGTGACGGGGTGGAGGGTGGAGCTGGCTCGGAATTGGCACTCGTGGAACTTCGTCTCATCCGACAGGTCAATCAGGTTCCCACTGCACACAGACTCTAAAGTGGAAAACGCTTTAAAATTTTTAAATTTTAACAGTCTTTAAAATGTAAAAAGTCATTAAGTCATCAGGTTTTTAAGTTTGCAGTGTCTGCACATTAAAAGCATATACGATTTTATTGTTCCGACCACCAACGTGGAAGAACTTTTTTTTCAAGTACCGCAAATAAACGTCAGATCGGGTTGATTGATATATTGAATGAAACTATTTTAGTTGTTTCAATCAAAAGTATCTTTGGGTATGGAGAAAAACAATCGGTTTATTTTGCTTTATAGATCAATTTAAAATGAAAAACGAAGAAACAACGCGAAGATAATGTCATTCATTGCACAATAATGGATCTTTAAAATCAAAGTTTGAAGTCAATTTTACCTTAATTTTATGAGCCTTTCATACTTTTGTTCATTGAAAATGGGGAGGAACTTTTAATTCGGGTGTTTTAGTTTTTTATTTTTTTTCCACGCAAAATCAGGTATCACAAATAAACATCGGACTGGGTTTAGTGATACATCATATCAAAGCTCGTTCAGTCGTGATTCGAACGACCTTAAAAAACTCCAAAAAACCCTAGTGCCGAGAAAAACCATTTTGAAGCTTTTGATTTTTCATCTACTTTCGAGCGAGTAAAGCGATCGAGTAACGTTCGTTATGTATGAAAATTACCAATGTAGTCTAAAAATTACATGATTTTACTTTTTTACTTTTAAAAAAATAGTTTGAAAGTCTTATTTAGCGCTTCTGTTGCAAAAAAAAAATCTTTCGAAAATATTTGAAATTCAGTGCAAAAATTTTTTTAAAAATACATCAAAAAAATTTTTTTGAAACAATTTTTCATCTTTTTCATTTATGTACTTTTTTGAAGACAATTGAAGTCGTTTATGCCTAATTCACTAAAGTTCTACGGATTTGTTTAGCTCTATCATTACACTACGTACAAGAAAAGACACTAACTTGAAAAAAATCTGAGAATGTGGTCGGAACATTCTGTGCTACTTGCACAGCAACCGGCTATCCTTGTTTTAGTAAATAGCTATCTTGACACTTACCCAGTACAATTGACTGGAACCGGATTGTCTCCATCTTATACCCGTACGGTTTCCCAGCTAAAATAAATGAATCACAAGTTATGAAATGAATATTGTAAAATATAATCAAAAACTACCCATGTTATTACAATAAAGTTTATTAAGTAAAACTAGCCCTGATACCCCCATATTGTTTTCCATTTTAAAGTAGCGCTCCCAGTTTACTTGACCCAATTTTTGAAAGACAGTTTATGTGCCAATATATACTAGCATTTTGAGGGCAATATTTTGATTTTAAAATGCTCAAAAACCTTTTTTTTTCGCAGATGAGATAGTTATGAGTAGATTTGAGCAGATAATTAGTGCTATATATGAGGCAACTTATAGCACTAATTGCGTAATTCTGAATTTCGACAGAGCTCAAAAGTTCGGAATGCGTGACTTGTAAAAATAATTGCGCACATGTATGTGTGTGTGGTGAGGGGGGAGGGGGCAGGCGCAGTACAGTCTACCTGTGATTGGGTTAAGAGTGTCTGTGTCTCTCTCCTCCCTGAAGAATATGGTGTCTAGGGGGGTGGAGTGGTAGTAGAGTCGGATGTCCTGGAAGAAGGAGTGGCCCACCACCACAGTTAGCAACATACGCCACTCCACGTAGTCCGTCAACTTCAGTCGCTCAATCTATTTCAACAACAACAAAAAACGGTGTTTAGAAAAAAGAATAATTAGGAAAGGTGTTTAGAAAAGACAATAATTAGAAAAAGTGCTTATAAAAGGTTTTTATAGATGGAAATTTAGAAAAAAAACATGTAGAAACAAGCTGAAGAACAGACAAAAAATAGCAAATCATAAATATTAGTCAAAAATTTCAACAGTTTTGTTAAATTTTGCAAAAAATCAGTTGTTACATAATTATAGTGAAAACGTAATGTAACTGATCACAATTTTCGGCTTGTTTGCATGGTATCTGGTCTATTCTCCCGCTCTTTCTTATACCATCTTGAAAAAAAGAGCTATATAATCAAGAAGCAGTGACTATTGTCAGGCAAACAAAACGACCGTTCTTGAGAGGGTAAAAATTTATATGAGACATTAAAAAGACATTTCAACTTCAAAAATGGCTTTAATTTCATTTATTGTTTTTTTTAAACTAAAAATAATGCTTATGCGGGATAAGTTGGAATTTTTTTTAAAAACAAATCAACTCTAGATCACTCAGTCATGCGTTTAATCCATAATTTTTGCATTGAATGCAATCAAACCTAAATTATATGTTGACTAAAATATCATAGCATCTAAAAATATGGCTGCCCTGGGCTCAATTCAACAAAAGTTTTAATCTGCAGTTTTATTGTCAAGTTATAAGAGTTTAAGAATTGCTAATTTGACTAGCTTGGATTGACTAGCGCGCAATATGTTGCGTTTCTATAACGCGCGTGAGAGGCGAGAAATGAACCGATTCAATCTGAGTTCAGAAAAAGTTGGTCTTTTAAATATTTTTGATACCATACAAGACGCTAAACACACCTTTTTTCTCATAGCGTGTGAGGGGATAAAAGGCCGATAAAACAACAAAAATTATTCTGTTTTACCGATTATTTTCAATTGTCTTACCAATTTCTAAGCATTTTTTAAAACTTTTAAGGGCAGTGGCAATATTTAGGCTTTTGCCCTTATATACAAACATTCATGCTCAGTTTACTTCTAACTCTCACTTTTTAACTTGCAGTTTTGACAACATTTTTGTTCCGACTTTCGAAGAAAGTGAGGAATATATATGCTCGAGGTGGTTTTTTTTTATTATTCAGACCGATTTTAGAAAAGTAGATTGCGAATGTTCTTCGATCCGGAAATTTTTGGACTGCTAAGGGAGTACGCTTGCTTGCGGTAGACTAAAGTGCTGCTAAGCTGCTGGAATAATACTTTGGAATTTTGCTTCAATATGCGATTTATTTATGCGTGGCAAATAATCCGCCATCATAATTGTTCTAAATTGAACTGAGACAAGCTAATGGGTCTTGATAATTCCATAAATAACTCAAGTTTTAACTTTTCGATACTATCAGCCTAAAACTCATAGTTTTGCCAATATTTCTTATACCAAAAACTTTTCGAGACTAATTAATGGACAGTCGGAACATTCAAGGCTTTGCCCTGATACGAGGAGTCTTGTTTTATATCACCCAAAAGATATTGAGTTGATGTGTTGAGCTCAAAGTTAGAAAGATATCAGTTTTTAGTAGAGTTATGGCTGTTCAAAGATTGTCAATTTGGGATAATTAACGCGGGGTATACTTCGTGCTATTAACGCGTAAGCAGAGATTCAATCTGTCTTTTCAAAATAAATTGAGGCATGATGCATGATACTTGGTCGATTTAGTACTTTGTTATATACAAAAAAAAATCAGTTTGTACTATACATAATATGCTGGGTCAGGTTTTTAAGTCAAAAAAAATTATTTTATTATTTTTTAAAATGCTATCATTTTAATCTTAAAAAGCAATCGGAACATGCAAGGCTTCAGTTAACAAAAAAAAAGAAATCCACGTAGCTGAAATTATACTATCAAGCAATAGTCATTTCCAATTTACTTGAATTTAATAATTTCACAGAAAAATGACTAACTATTAAAACATTTTCTTAGTTTTTTCATGAAACATATATTCAAATTGCAGATAAATAACGTTTTCGACGAAATATTTTGCAAGTCAATAGAAATCAAATAAACCTTTAAGCTTTAGTCTTGAAATAGTCAAAAATATATGGGTTTCTTGACATGAAGAGGGGCACTTAGCTTCATCAAGAAATAAATTAGCACACACAAAGTTTTTTTCTGGATCATTGTATCTCACCGTGAATTCCATGACATGTTTATCCGACGTATCCAACACTGGCCGCTGTCCAATATACAAAGTGGCGTGATACTGCTCGAACTCGAAGAAGTCGGGTAGAAATTGCCTTATTTGGACATTTTTGGCCTCGGCAGTGGCGTGGCACTCGGCCCAGATGGAGAAGACGTACCAGACAGAGTCGCCTTGTTCGTACTCTCTCGGCAGAGTGTTCAGCACTGTCACGTTTGAAGACAGAATCGGAAGGCGGTCTTGATCGTACATTGCCTGTAATGATGTATTAATTTCAAGACCATTTATCCTCAGGGGAACAGTGAACAACCGAGCTGTTCAGCTCTCAACTGACAACTGCTGAAGCACCTAAGCTTCAGGACAGCTCTTGGGTTAAAGTTTTTGGTTCTAGAACTGATGCCGCAGCGGCAGGCAGATAACGAGCACCGATCAAGGTGAATCTCGAGTTTTGCTATTAAAGTAACTTTAAATCTGTGACTTGTAATTTTTTATTTACAAACAAAATACTCTCAATAAGCCAGTTTCGAAATTACATTCGAAATTACATGTGATTACAAAAAAATGGCGGACTTTCGAAACTTTTGTCTGTGTAGGTCGGTCGACCAAATTCATTTACCAGCTCTCCAGAAACACTATTGAGATCCCATTTTGAGAATAACTTTGAAAAAAAAACAGCCAAAACAGCCAAAAACGACATGTTTCGGTACTTTTTGGAAACTCTAATAATTAACGATACCTGTGTCAGGGGCTACAATATGTTCAGTTGTCAATCATCATCTTAGTGTCAATCATTCGAGTTGCTATTATTAGTTCCCAGACCTTAATCAAGTGTGAGACTGGTACCTGCCTGTCAATCAACTAAAGCTGTCTAGCTGTTAAGTGTTGACCTCTAAGTTCACTCTCTTATTTATGCGAACTAGAATTCAGTCAATTAACTATTTAACAGCCATCTTTTTACAAACCCTTGTTATGGCGCAGCCAGCAGATGGTGGGGGGAAAAACCCCCTTGGAATTGTGGCTTTCTGGCCTCCAAATCAGGCGGAACCACAACTGTTATGGGAACACTGGAAACAACGATTCCATTGGGCGATGGTGGCGAAACATGGAATAGTCTCGTCAGAATACTACTTTGCATCGACATTAACTGAAGCACAGATTACAGACCTGGGGGACATTGGGGGAAAACCACGGGCAGAAGGTGAACGTACACTAATATCAAATCTGTATTTATGCCTGGGACATGAGGGACAGAGAGCATTGCATAACCAGCATCCACATTTAGATATGGAAACAATACGATACCCACGTTTTTTGGATATCTGTGTAGCTCTCTTTCAGAAAGAGCGGAACGAGACGTACGAGATGTACCAAATGTTGTCGAGGAAACAAAAGGAGGGTGAGAGTCTAGAATCGTTCTATGCAGAACTTAGCGGAATGGCGGCAAGATGCAACTTGGGCACCCAGGAGCGGAAAATGGTGAGAGACATTTTTATTTTCAACATGAGGAACAGGGACGCGCAGAACGAGCTGTGTAGGGAAACCAAAACCCCGGAAGAAGCATTGCGAATCGCAATGTCATACGAAAGAGGAGACAAATACGCAAGGAGCTACAAGGGGGCCGTATCCGGTTCCACGGGAATGGCGCATCCATCGCCAGGGGGTTCTCTACAGATTAAAACGGAACCAGTCAGCAATATTCGCGGATCCAGGGGACGAGGAATGCCAAGGGGACGGGGTCAGTATCCAAATCGTGGAGGAGGTCGAACACAAGATCGAGTGCAAGAGCGCAGATGTTACAACTGCGATCAACCGAATTTCACCCCAGAACACCGACAACGATGCCCAGCAAGAGCCGTCACATGCAACTTCTGCAAGAAGATTGGGCACTTTGAGAGGACTTGCCGAGGAAAACGACAATCCAGGGGGGGACAACCGGTTGGATTGATCCAAGGGGATGAGTTTCTCGACGAGGAAGATACACCCTCGGATGACGTGGAGCCCCAAGCTGCGGCAAGTTCAGTTGGTTTCGTCAAACGAGAACATCACAGCTGGTCGTCAGAAAGTTCGGACGATTACATGGTTATGGCAATTCGACGGAAGAAGGAAACGATGTTGAAAGTTGCCGGGCCTAAACTCAAAGTATTCATTAATGGGCACCCGATGAACATTTGGATCGACAGTGGATCGCCGATATCCATTCTAACACTAGAAGATTTGAGAAGAACAGTGGGAAGAGCGGGAATCAACTTGAAGCAGGGTAACACTGACGATGACGAATTTCGAGATTACAGTAACAATCGGATCAAGATGTTGGGCAGAATGGAACTCGAGTTAGCATCAAACGGCTGGAAGACGACAGCAGAAGTCCGAGTCATTGGGGGGACCAGACCGTCCATCGTGGGACGTGATTTGATGGGTAAACTTGGACTACAGTTGATGCAAGCAGATCCAAGGGGGGACGTCATGAACATCCAGGGGGCGGAGGACATTTCATGCAAGGAGGGACACGATGAACCAGAGGAGGAGCAGATGGATCAATGGCAGTCATACTTCAGTAAGCTATTCCCAAAACTTTTTACTAGAGTTGGAAAAATTAGGAACTACAAAGTTCAAGCGGAATTTTTCAAAAATCTTGTACCAGTGCAGCAGAAGGGACGGAGAGTGCCGGTAACGCTCCAAGAAAAAGTGGACAAAGAAATTGATAAGCTATTAACTCAGGGACACATAGAAAAATTGAAAGAGTGTTCGGATCGATATTTTGTTTCTCCGATCGTCATCACCGTGAAAAAAGACGGGTCCGTAAAATTAGCATTGGAATCACGAGAACTTAACAAACAAGTGCATAAAAACAAATATCAGATGCCAAATATAGAAGAACTTGTAGATACAATAGGACAACTTATATCCGAGAAAAAACAAGGGGAGGTGTACTTTACTACGATGGACCTAACGTACGCGTATGGGCAACTACCGCTTAGTGAAGAGACAAGCGTGCACTGTAATTTTTCTTTGGTGGGCGGACGGTCGACAGGAACTTACCGTTTCCGAACAGGGTTTTACGGGCTAACGTCAATGCCGGCAGAGTTCCAGCGAGTAATGGACTCAATCTTGAACGAATTCCCACAAGCGAACGCGTTCATTGATGACATTTTGGTTACAACCAAGGGAACGGAAGTAGAACATATCTCCTTGGTTGAAAAGATCCTCCGGAAACTAAACCACGAAAATATATCCTTGAAGTTACCTAAATGCGAGTTTGCGAAACGCGAATGCGAGTGGCTTGGCCATCGTATAACCGAAACGGGGGTCACGCCTCTTAAACGAAAAACATCGCCGATAGACGCACTAAAAGCTCCTAAAACAGTAACGCAACTAAAGTCATTTATGGGCTCAATCCACAGCTTGCATAAATATTTACCGGCGATAGCGGAGATGTCAGCTCCATTAAGGCCACTCCTCAGCAAGAAAAACGAGTATAACTGGACCGCGGAATGTGAAAATGCTTTCCAAAATATTAAAGTGGGGGTAGCGAACATCGTTGAATTAAAACACTTTGATATTCATAAGGACATTAGAGTTGTTTGCGATGCAAGTCACAACGGCCTTGGAGCGGTGTTAGAGCAATTGGGTACAGAAGGGTGGAGCCCTATATCTTTTGCATCACGATTCTTAAACGCAGCCGAGAAAAAATATTCCACCAACGAGCTGGAAATGCTGGCGGTGGTATGGGGGGCCGAGTATTTCAGAAATTACATCCTAGGAAGATCATTTACAGTCATTACCGATCATAAGGCTTTAATTTCATTACTTAACGGAAATAACAAGAAAAACAAAACACTTTTTTCAAGACTAACACGTTGGCTGGACAGACTGATTCCTTTTGACTTTGTAATAGAACACAAACCGGGCGCCAAGATAGGATTGGCAGATTATTTGTCAAGGCATCCTAGCGAACCCCCTAAACCGATAAGTCAATATGATAATTTGTTCACCGTGGCAAAAATCGCTTCGATCAGAAAATCCCTTGGTTTTTCAAAGGAATTAAAACCCCTTGGTAAACGAAATTATCAAAATACTGAAGAAACTGGTTCTAAACAGTCTAAACGATTTTCATCCAATCACAAGCGAGAACGAATAACATGCATACAACCAGCGACGGTTGAGGGCGGAAAGTCATGCGTGAAGACAGCGACCAATAGGAAACGATCAATTTGCATATTGCGTAAATCAAAGAAATCCAAGGGACATTCAGTGTGCTCTATATATTGTTCCCTTGGAAGACGGTAAAATTTGCCTAAATCAAAACACTCAAACAAAATGGATAGCGACTCTAATTGTTCTTTCCCAGTATTTGAAATTGAAAATGTTGAAAATGTTACAATCGATTCCCAAACTAACAATCCGAATATACTACAACCTCAGATCAACTCTCCACTTAGACTAGACGAAAACTTATTGAGTAGCGATGAAATAACTATCATTAACCCTGAATTTATTGCAATTACTAAAAACACACGGGATTCAAAAGTTAATACAGTACTTTCCATACCTTCGAAATTTCCAGGCGAGCTTTTTCCTACTGTTAATCCGAATCAGCAAATTATGTCCATCATTCCCCGTGATTGCAAGGTTATTAAGAAGTCTCAATCGTTACCAGAACTTTTTAACTTAGAATTTGTTGCCTCGAACATACCAGCGGATGTAAACTTGTTACGAGTGAAAGAAGCATTGGAGAAGAAGACTAACTTGAAGGAAGAACTCCTGAAGATTGGGAAATACTGGGCTCAATATGCTAACGATCTGTCGTTACGGGACGATTGTGTGTGGTTGGACGGACGATTGGTCATCCCTTTACCCTTACAAGTCCCAGTTGAATCACGGATACACTATTACCATCATGGTAAAAGAAACATGTTCGAAGCAGCTCGGGACGTCTGGTACCCTTATATGTACCGAAGTTTGGCAGCAAAGGCCACGTACTGTCAGCAATGCACGGAAGCGGGTAAGAACCTGAAACTGTTATTACCCAAGGGAGACATGGGAAAGGTCCCAGAACCAAGGGAACCCAATGAATGTTTACAGTTGGATTTCTGGGGGCCGATAAATTATTTGAATGAAACTAAGAAATATGTTTTGGTTGCTACGGACCGATTCTCAAGGTGGCCGTCAGCAATGGTTACTACTACTAATACGTCAGATAAGGTCTTAAAGTTCCTTGTTAAGTACATATCGCATCATGGAGTACCTCGGAAGATCCACGTTGATCAGGGATCATGTTTTACCTCTAATAAATTTAAAAGCTTCTGTAACGAGGAAGGCATCGAGCTAATGTACTCCCCAGTAAATGACCATCGAGGCACGGGGTCCGTTGAACGGACGATAGGAAGTTTGAAAAATTTTGTCTTAACATACGCGACAGAAAAAGAACATAAATCTCTAGAATCTATGGTCGATAAAGCACTAGGCGCTCTACGATTCTCCAAAAATGCAACTACTAAATTAACGCCTTTTGAAGCTCACCACGGCAGGGAGGCCAATACTGTTTTACGAAATCTAACGAAAAAACCAAGTTTGAAGAATTTGAATTGGAACAACGTCCTAAAACAAAAATGTTTGTGTTTAGACGAAAATGATCCTGAGTTGAGCAAAGTTGCATTCCCTCAGCATTCAAATTGGGAGGAGAGGTCGGATCTAACATACGCTCCAGCCTTGCGAAGGGCCCCTATCACGCTGGATAGTGACCAACAAATGGACGCATGTCCAAGGGGGGAATCGGAAGTTGCCCCACACACCCAAGGGAGTGGAGACACTGGACCTAACATCCAGGGGAGTGGAAAAGGACGAAATCTATACCAGCGTACTACCAGCAAGAACCTAAATCGGTATAAATTACTAAAGTCAAACGTAATCTCTGAATCCGAACATACTTTTAAACTTAAAAACGGATCCGTTCTTAGGAAAAGTGCAGTGGCATCAAAACCGAAACATGACCTTCCCAAGAAACGGAAGCCGGCCACGCTCAAGGATATGCTAGCGAGCGCAAAAAGAGGGGCAGTAGTGAGCCCGAAATCAAAACGAGCTAAGACCACGCAGACAGTCCAATTAGCCACCTTCGAGTCCGACAGTTCGGATACGGAAGACAATCTGCCATTAAACATTCCGGTACGACTACCGGTAGAATTGCTAGCGAGGCGCGAGGCAATTGCAGCGGGACAAGGCCCAAGCGGCAGTACGACAGGAGTGGGAGGAGGAACGGGAGCTAAAGCTAAATCCAGAGTGACAAGAGCTAAGCGAGGAAAAGGGGGCCAAAGTAAACAATTGAAGGAAAGCCAGGAACGTCCAGCGTTAGCGGCGCGGGAGTGTCTTGTAAATAGCAGTCAGGAGGAGGAAGTTGAATCAGGAAGCCAAAGTGAAAGCTCGGGAACCAGGAGGAGTACTAGAAGGAGAAAGCCAGTAGACAAAATGGGAGGAGTTATGATCGAAACCATCCAGGGGGCGGAACAACCAGGAACACATCCAGGGGGAGAAGGGAAATGAACTTATTTCACATTATTCGAAAACTCGTTAACCCAGGGAGAGGGATGGCCATAAAGCCTAAAACTCAAATTGTTAAAAACTGATAGTTGTTTGTTATATGATAGTTGAGGCGGCAGGTTGAAGATGTGGTTATTATACTTAAATTTAAATTACTATGTATTTAAATTTTACATCCATACGGAAATGTCAGGGGCTACAATATGTTCAGTTGTCAATCATCATCTTAGTGTCAATCATTCGAGTTGCTATTATTAGTTCCCAGACCTTAATCAAGTGTGAGACTGGTACCTGCCTGTCAATCAACTAAAGCTGTCTAGCTGTTAAGTGTTGACCTCTAAGTTCACTCTCTTATTTATGCGAACTAGAATTCAGTCAATTAACTATTTAACAGCCATCTTTTTACAAACCCTTGTTACCTGATACTGGTACACTCCGGAAGATAGAGTTATGACCTCTGCTGTTATGGCCCAGTGCACGTCCACAGTGTCAGTATGGCCCACCAGTGCCTCGTCCTGGGCCATTAGGGCCACTCTGAGAGTCAGTTGGTTCTCCCAGTTGGAGTCACTCTTCGAACCCAACCGCTCCGCTTTATCTAAATTGAGTACCCAAGATATTGAAAGATCTTCAACTTTTAAACGATTCTTGTGCTGATTGCCTAAATTTTGTCAGAAAACCCGCTTCTTAAAACAAAACTAAGCCACTGTTCCTTTCTATTAAACGAGAGCGTTCCGACTCCGACTAAAATTGACATCTAAGGCTGTCTAAATACATCTAGCATAACTATTTTATAATCTCTTCAGAAGTTACACCGAAAAGATACGGTGTGAAAACCAATAACCAGTAAATTTGCTGCTGCTGCAAAGTTTTGACAAAAAAAATGCTATCACTTTAGAACGGAGCACACTCATAGCATAATTTTGATCACGAAAAATTAATTAATGCTTAATGATTTTGATTGGCTGAAAGGAAATTCCCAAACTTTGCTTGAACTTATGATTGCTTGACCGGTCGCTTGAACGGCTAAGTCAAATCTATGATAGCTTCTATTCAGAAAGTAATGATAGATTTGAAAACATTTTCACTGTGGAGCTCTTTCTTCATGATCCAAAAAACGGTGGTCAAAAATTTGGAAGAGGTAAGCGCAAAAATCTGTCAACTTTGGACAGCTTAAAGGACGTTTAATGGTTCAATTTGGGCTCTTGATCATTAAGGCATGAGAACAATCCTCGTTTTTGACTCCGAGTCAAATATATAATTTCGAGAAAATACGATTATTATTTCTTACAAGTTTTACTCACTCACCCAGTTTAGTGATTCGGCCCAAGTGGAGTGTCATCCTGTTTTCCTGTTCATTATTCTCACTCATGTCATTTGTCACAAACACCTCACTCACTTCGGGGTCATACTGCATGCTGGCCTCCAGATTGGACCCCCACGAGACGATCTCGATGCCCCTGACTACGAATTTAGCCCCACCCGAAGACACCAGTTCACTCTCGACTGTGAAGCGGGTGTCGTAGTTGTAGTCGCGCAAAAAGTCAACTGAAAAAATAATAAGAATAAATTTTGTCTTGAAAAAATTGGATATAACTCATCATTACAAAAAAAACTGCCTCCAGCAGGGGCAGCTTTAGAGGTGGGGGGTTGCGGACGCCTTCCCTTCAGGGATTTGACCCCTCATCATTCCAAGGAGTCCTCCTTTTTGTACTTTTCTTAAGATATCTATTTTTGGGTTACCGCGTCCCTGAAAAATTTCTCAAGTCCATCGGCGCCAATATATTTTAATTTTAAAGGGAAGCGCGGGTCTTAAAAGTGGCTTTTTAAAAATTTGCCTGTGGCGCAGAAATTTTGGTCCAAACAGGATCTTTATAGCGTTCTGGGAAAGCTCGCAAAATTAATTTGATCGACCTCAAAATTTTGGAAATTTTCCGAATATTTTTTCTAAAATCTGCCCACCCTCAAGAAAACCCTAGATCCTCCCCAGAATACTGTTCTAAAACTAAATATGAATGAATTTGACCAATATAAAGATAATAGAAAAAGTAGACAAATCTTTTGGATTTTTTTCTGAAAGACTGCCCCCACCCTCAATTCGCAAAAACTTTAAATTCTATCCTGATTGTATCTAATATTACTAACTTGTGACAAAGAAGTAGTGATCATCCCCTGCATAAGCATCATTCAGTTCGTCAACACTTATGTTCCTCCCGAATCTAGTATTGATTACTCCGGGTTCAAACAAATCCTCCTCAGTAAAGTTAGTCTGCAAAGCGACCTCTCGGCTCCATGAACCGTATATCTTGTCCGCGTTTCCATCGTCCACTAGGTCGGCCAAGACTTCGAATTGCTCGTCTGGCTCTAGAGTTAATTCGAGGACTGCCAATTCAATTTGGACAGTGACCTGAAACCATTTCGGTTTATTGAAATGAAAAAAACAAACTGGAGAAAATTTGCTGATATCTTAATAGATTTTCAAAATCTGGCTCCGAATAAATTCCATTGATAAAATGGGCCGCTGATTTCTTTGAAAGAGCCAAAAATTGGTCATATTGGTCCCGTTTCTCTCCGAATTGAGCTTTGAAAACAAAAAAAAACAATCAGAATAAAAATGGTCGTAATAACACTCGTTATCTTTGGGTTGTGTTTTTTCTTCTGATCAGGTTTTTCTTCTGCCCTAAAAATAATACAGAAAAAATATACTGAATACTTTGTTAAATTGGTCAACTTGAATAACAGAATCTTCTAAAACGGCATTTTGCCGAAAATAATATGTTCAAGTCTAATTTTTGAAAGGATTGACAAAGATACCATTTTTGGGCTCTTTCAAGAGCCTTGTAACCAAAAATTGTATCGTTAAAGCGCGCAACCACGTATATATTGGCGCCAAAGACTCCTTTAGAAACAATTTCAGAAGTGGTCGATCAAAAATAACATCATAAAAAAGGGGCGGGGATTTTAATTTCAAAGAGCACCTTTGTAGCTGAAAATTTCCAGTGCTTTTAAACCCTTAACAAATGGAACTGAAACTTTCTTTACTCAACTTGAAAAAAAAAATAAAGTATATGTCGTTTGATAAAGTATGTGTAGTTTGATAAAGTATATGTCGTTTGATAAAATATATTGTCTGACCATATTGTGGTCGTGTTTCACTTCATCAGGAGTTTCAGCTCTCGTGGGTATGATGTTGTTCAGGTATCCCAGAGATAAAGAGCGAGTTGAAAACTCATGCACTCCGTCGTTGTCGTAAGATCTAAAAAAGTATTTGGCATTTGGAAAGAGTCAAGCGCACTTCAAGTATCGAGCAAATCGAACTTTGTAAAAACTTCCTAATCGCCTAAATTTAAGTTTCAAATCAGCAATTAAAATTTTTTTTCAGCCAAAAACAGTTTGTTATTGACAAATTTGACAATTTTTTTTGCAGGAAACCAAAAACTCCTTAATACCAGCAGTTTTTTAAAGTGCTACAAGAACTTAGCTGCGATGCAGACAAATTTTAATGATTTCCAGGAACCGCTTAAAATGTTCCATTAAGAGTTTGCGCGTATATGTTGATACTTTTTGTTAATTTGGATACCTTTTGAAAAATGAGTCTACGCTATTTATACCAAATTAAATTGCCAACTTACAATTCTTCATCCCCGAGAACTGTCTCTGACCGATTATAACACCCCGGACTAATCATGGCCCCCACCCCAATCATGAATATCGAGTGGATCCTCACACCCCTCGACGTTGTGACTTGTACGGCGTATGTTCCGAGGGACTTCGGGGGGAGGTAGATCCGAAGGGGCAGCAGGACACTCCCCCCTAGTCTGGCCTGTAAAGTCTCATTCACGAGGCTGTCTTCAATTAGGAACGTGAGTCGGCTGTAGAACTGAGAAACACAATGAAAATATTGGTCATTTTTATAAATTAATCTTTTTTTTAGATATTATTATTATAAACAGGGTCATATTATAGTCATAAATCATAATACAATATACCAAAGCCAACAAATATCTAAATTGCTTAAGCCAAAAACTATCTCCAACTCGTTGAGACACCTGAAAATAGGCCGTGCTGGCTTAATGGTCCCCTCCCATACGATTCAGATTTGCTTTTGTAAGTTTATATAAATAACTCTATAACTAGATATTGTTTTGGAAAAAACTCGGTAATTTTCTTACCGACAGCCAACCCAACTGCAAGTTATTAGCCACAATGATCTTCCTGTGCTCGACTGCACTGCCCACTAGCATGTAGGGTCCATCCTCCGTCATCCGGGGCAAAAAAGAGACAGTTATTTCCAGCTGCGCCTGCAGCACTGCACTGGCCTGGGGTGGTGCCTGGATGATGTGGTAGAGGTGGATCTGGTAGTCTTCTATGGTCTCGTTTATGTAGGAGTCTGGAAACAATGTGATGCGGTTTTTGTTGGAATGATTTAAAAAGTAATTAAATATTATAAAATAAATATTGTACTGATTGTATTGTATTGGCCAAAATATTGTATTGGCCAAAAATAAATATTGTACTGATGCTTTTTTGCTGTTAATTCCTTGTCGCGATGCTTCAGATTATTGCAATTTGTTAGATTCAATTGTTTTGCTAATACTTTGGAGCTGAAAATCGTCAGAAAATTTTGAAACCTTTTGAACAAACAATTTGATTATATTTTAGATAATTCACGGTGTCAATGCTTCATTTTGCTGCTCATGTCTATATTTTCAATTGAGTTGCTAATTGTTCATTTTGTTTTGAAACCAAAAAACATCAGCAAGTATTTTTTTAAAGTTTTCATTCAAAATTTGAGTTTTGTACTGATGATTTTTAGTTAGTTCAATTTTATTGCTCATACTTATCAATTCATAAAATTTCACTTCTTTTAAAACCAGTTTTTTTTAAATCCTCGCAACCCTATCAAAACAAAATATGGTAAAATATTCAAGATTCTTTGCAATATTTTTTTTGTCCTCAAGATTCTTGGAGTTTTCTTAAAGATTTTTACCGATCTTCAAGATTCTTGACACAATTGTACCAAAATTTCAAAGATTTTTCTTCAAAATTTTTCAAAGAATCTTCAAGATTTGACAAATATTGCAAAGGTTGCTGGGCTTGGGTTAAAACGTATTTAAGAATCTCAAAATCATCTGTGAATTGTATATGCCGTAAATCTAAAAAGAAAAAGAAAAATCTCGAAACTATCTGGAGTATAGTGTAAACATCTGCAAATCTAGAACTATCTGACAATGCTTAGAGTTTGAAGTTTTACTGTATAAAACATAAAGATGAAATGATTTGCTAATAATTATAATATACGAACAGCAGCGTGCCGGGGGGGGGGGGGGTTGACCGCCTTCCCTTCAATTCTGGTTGCCCTTTTGGTAAAACTTTACGATATCCATTTTTGACTGGCTAACCTCAACCTTCGGCGCCAATATAACTATTTTTGAGAGGGGAGCGTCAAAATTTTTCAAAAGGAGCCCAAGAACGCAGTTTTTTGAACTGTTTTTTAAACACAAATTGGTCGACTTAAAAAGTCCGCAAAATTTTTAAAATTTTTCAAAAAACTGCCCCCTCTAGAAAAATTTCTGCGCACGCCACGGTATACAAACCATTTTAATTGCGAGAAATCATCTAATGTCTATGATTCGTAGAAGGAGACGCCCAGCTCCGACTTTTTTCGGATGATTCTTCGGATACCGATAAGATTCTAAGACTTTTCCCTAAATATCCAGATAGTTGCAATGTTTTTTTTTAGTTTCACAGCTAATGTTCACAGGTGTTTTCTAATATTCGCAACTGCATTCTATAACTACTTGTTTATTAGAGTTTTAGACACTATTATCTCGTTTACAACTAAAAAGTAATTGAAAAGTAAGCAATAAAATGTTTAGGTCAATAATTGTTAATGAATGTGCAATTAAAATTATGATTTTTCCCTTCATAACAATCTAACTCAACCCCCTATTCCCCATCCTATAACAGAAACATTCTGCTATGTTGGGGTTGTAGTTTCTGTCATTCAGCTGAGGAGCAATAATGTGAAAGCGTAAAAAACGGTACCCTTGTTCGATATCTTGAGAGTGGTGGAGCCATCGAGTTGTTCTATGACGTCATAGACGACATTCCTGCCTGCCTCCAAGTCCGTCCGACAGATGTACGCTGCTCCAGCGTTCGCCGTCTGGCTGACCTCATACTTCAGACTGAAAAGGTAAGTCAATTTTTACTGTTTTCAATTCACCGGAGATTTTGAAGTTTTATTTCAATAACAGACACCTTCACAGAAACAATGCTTGGAATGACTCTTGTTGAATAGTAAAAATTCTTCGACCAGTAGCCCAGGTTAATTATTTTAAGAAGATTTAAGCTATTTTAAATACTTGTATAGAAGGATCACAACCGCAGTGAAATGATTTTTCAAGGGGCTTGAACCCAGGTATACGTGAAAAATTAATCAACTCGTATCTTGGTCAAGATACTCGTGAATAATTTGCTCAAGTTCATGATAAAAAACCTAATTTTCTACTAACGGCAGATATTTAGTTCGTATTTGGGTGTGTTTTAGTTTTCCTTTTTTTCTTCTTTTTTTTTGTTTCCCGCGCATAATCAGGTTCAACAAATAATCATCCGAATAGGCCAAGTGATATATCAAATTAAAGACTTTCAGATGTGATTCAAACGGCCTTCTTTTGCCGAGAAAAACCAGTTTGAAATTTTTGATTTTTTTGTCTAATTTCGCGCGAATCAGGTGAGCAAGCAGGCTTATTTTGTTTTTTAACCAAAAAAACTTAGCGCAAATAATCATCGGAAAGAACTGAGTGATATTTCATTTTAAGCCCTTTTCAATCCTGATTCAAACAACATTACAAAACATTATAAAACATTATAAAAAAATCAAAAAATTTAAAAACAATTTCTGCAAAAAAATGAAAAAAGAATTTTTGATTTTTTCTTTTTCGTTTTTCGATCAAAACCGTTGCTTTATTTGTCTATTTTTCTGTGACTGTACTAGACTCTCAAAGTTTCAATTCCATTGTCGCAAATGGCAGTTGATTGATACATTTCCTATAAACAAATCAGACAGTTACAAAAAAAAATAGTTATCCGGTGAAAAATTTTTAAAATAAATTAACAATTTCACTATTTTGATTCAAAACTTCAGCGGATTCACTTTTCCAGAATTTGAAAAATCAGCGGGAAAATTAGTCAACTCAAGGTGAGACACTAACTAGTATTCGTTGAATGCGTAGAGGGATCTGACGAAGTACTTGGTCTCCAGAATCATCACTTGGCTGGGCAGGATGAGGTAGAACTCGGGGTTTGTGTTGTCGGGATCCTCGCCAGGCACTGCACCCACCGCATCTGTCACTCCGTCGAACACCTCCAGAATCAAGTCCTAAAAACCAGTCGTTCAAATTTCAACAGTGCGGACAAAATCAATTTGAAAGAGAACAAACTATGCTTAGTAAAATAGATAAATGAAAGTGGCAGAAGAAATTAGTGGAAACCTGCGGCAGGTGGTCCAGTTCGATTAGTTCCGAGGTGTCTGGATCTGAGATCACCAGCACCTTCATCGCACCTCCCAACACCAGCTGATCATTGAAGCTCAGTGAAGCATAAATCACCTGCAAATAAGAATGGTTTGATCCAGTTAAAAAACACCCCCGGCAGGTAATTTTTAGACTGACAAATTTAATGTCTTTCCCGATAGATCATCTATCGAAAATAACAGTAATTTTACCGTTATCGTTCTCGAATGTCATCTCGAATTTACAATATTCAAAACTTTCCACAAAAATTTCACAACTTTTCAAAAACTTTTCACAAAATTTTCAAAAACTTTTCAGGATTGGGGTTATTCAAAAGAAAAGTGGGAGAAAGGAAGGCTGAATTGAAGTCTGGCCTGTTGCCATGAGGCGTCTACGAATGCGGCCTGGTTGAGTTTGAAGTCGAGCGAGACTATGACCAGACTGTCTCGTGTGTCCTCCACATTCAGGGGCAGGAAAGAGATGGAGCCCAGGTCCAGTTGGGCCCTGTGTTGGACCCAAACGAAGTACTCCACCGTGGCACTGAAAAAAAAAAAAAATTTTGATTTGAGAACAAAAAGTGGAAATTTTCTGCGATGAATGTTCATGATTTTGTTTATCGAATGAATCGTATTTAAGTCATGTCAGCAAATGAATTTAAAAAAACATAGAAAAGAGTCGTAATGATGTTTAGAACTTTGTCAGTTTTGGAAGGTTCGAGAAAAAATTGCGCGAAAGTAACCTAGCAATTTTTTGGCTTGATTTTTGGTCGATTTGCCAACGTCTTTTTATTGTGGTTTCTGCGATTCGCGGAGGCTCTGCGCAAGGCGATGCAGCCAGTCTAAATACAGTCCGTTTTCTTACTTCCCCGCATGCTAGACTGAGTTATTTTGTTGAGCGAAGCTCTTTTTTGCGATTCAAGGAAGTTTTTATGCGTCCTGAATATTTACGTGATATCACTATTGCATCCAAAATCGGGTCAGACTGCAATAAACCTGAAGCTAGAGGTCAAGCTGGTATTCGCACACTATCACTTCCATGGCAGGGGATGTATTGCACAATCTGACGCTTTCGAAGTTAACACTTTACCACTATGCTTAGTGTAATCTTTATGATTAAAGCAGTTTTTAAAACTAGCCCAATGTTTTCAGAAAACTGAACAAACATAATGGTAATTTTTCAATTTTACTGAGTGTTTTATCAAATAAAAATCACTTGCGATTAAAAAAGTCATTCATTTTTGCTCTTTACTTTTTACAGATTCTTAGTTACCTTCATGTTTAGCTAATAAAAGTGAAGTAATAAAATTAAAATTGGATTTTTTTTCGTTATGATTTTTATAAAACTAAGCATATATATTGTAGACTTGAATGTGTAAAATATCATATCTATCAATTTTTTTTGTTTCTAAAAACCTTATTTTTCATCAAATGAAGCCAAAAAAATGCAATTTCAAAATTTTTTTGAAAACTTCATCTGACAAGCTAGGTGAAAAACAAAATGAAAAAAATGTTTATGGTAGCGCATAAATGCGATCAAAACTGCTCGTATAAGGGTAGTGGCTTCAAGGTTTCGACAGCGTTTTCATGTATCTGAAGTAGTTTTACGTCAAAATTTTAACCAAAAAATCAGAAGCAAAAACTATTTTTTTGTAACCATTCCCTTGCACGCAGAAATTTTTAAGAAAAAATGTTAAGTTTTAGAGCTAATAACTCGTTACATGGAAACTTACTTTATTTTGTAAATAATTTTTTGCAGGTTTAGTTTTGAATATGTGCAAAATGAGCCGGTTTGGCAACTTTCAAACCCCATAATTTTGCATCAAATGACGAAAAGTGAAACTAGTTATAATTTTCAGCTCAATAACATCATTATTTTCCAGAGTGCAGAGTGTACAAATATTTTGTAAAAAATCATTAATTCAAAAGTAGAGTTTGTCTGGAGAAAAAAAATACCCAAGAACAAATTTTTCGTCGTATTCAAGGAAAGTTGAACCACAAATAGCTTGCTAATTTTATTTCGAATTGGCATCTGAGCCCAATTAATTATCAAAATTAACGAAAAAAAGGTTTCACAAAAATGATCGCACAAAAACGATGTTATAATCTTGGGCTTAGGTATTTTATATGACCTTCAGCTGATCATAAAATTGTGTCGAAAAGTGCTAGTTAAAAAGTCAAATTTTGATATTGTAGAAAGTCGGAACAAAAAGGAATATGATATTGTTCCAAAAAGTAAGCAAGAAAAGCATAATACCAAAAGAATTTTGCTGGTCTTAATGCAGTCCTTTACAGAGCAGTTTATATATGACATTTTTTATATATCTGTTATTTTCACTTTGACAGATAAATAAAAAATACGGTATTTGGGGCATAACAATGAGAGGTTAGCCAAATCGAAATTGTTATGATCAGACAAATTGCAATACGGAAAGCCTTAAGACACTTAAAAACAAAGTTTCACGCAAGTTTGCAGCAAAGTTCTGAAAATCAGAGCTTTTTTTTTCTTCAAAAACGTAAGTTTCATAAACGTTTTTTCTTGTTTAATGTGACCTCCACTAACTGGTCATATGAAGGTTCCTTGTCGTTCCTCCAGTGTTGCAGGGAGGGCATGTTGTCCCCCACGTGACTAAGGGACACTCTGACTAGTTCCAGGGCAGAGGGAGACAAAGAGGAGTTTCCCGCACCCGAGGGGTCAAATTCAAAGGTCACCTGAAAAGAAGACTAATTTGATCGATACTGGACAATACTTGCAAATCACATGCGAGAGAGAGATAGAGAAAGATTGAAGTTTTTACCTATGGCCCAAACTAAACTAAAATTCTATTCTTATCACCTTATATGATACTTATTGCAAAGTCACACTTTGTTTGATTTCTGGTCGTTTTTAAGGAATTGTTGCAGGGGCGGGTCTAGGATTTTCTCGAGCGGGGGGGGATTTTCAAAAATTTTGTCGACCTTGTTTTTCATAAGCCGACTGAATTGATATTCCGTGCGTACCCCAGAACCCAGAATACTATTAAAAACCTCTTTGAAAAAATAAAAATTTTTGAAAAAACTAGTCAAAAATGCCGTTCTTAGGCACTTTTTGGAAAATTTTGACCAAAAAAATTGCGTTTTTTCGCGCGCGCTCCCCTCCCCCCCCCCCAAGGCGCCTTTAGAAAAATTTAGGTTTGGTCAGCCGAAAATGAATGTCATAAAATAGTGCCAAAGTGGGGACCCTTTGGTTGGTGAGAGGGTCAAATCCCTGAGGGGAGGAAACTTTCCTCGAATAGCAAGTTTTCTTCGACACAGAAAAAATCAACGTTTTGATGCACTCAGAATCACAATTGAATAGCATTCATACCTTAACTCATACGTTTTCATGCACAAAATTCAGCTAAATAATGAACTTGTGAGCTCTATTTACCTTCGTGTTTTCGTACAGAATGGCGTTGCCAGGTGGGAACTGAATCCTGAACCTGAGCACTCCCCACCCGTTCAGGTAGACCACTGACTCATCCGCCGGGTATCCGGGGACGATGAAGGGGTCTGTCATCTCTACTTGAGGCACTGGGTCCTCCAGCAACTGAAAATAGAGAAGAAAATAGTTAATTGAAATGAAAATTGGACCGTAAAAAATATTGAACCGCTGAAGGGAAGGCATCCGTACCCCCCCTAATTTCGCCCCTGTGTTTCACGCTCCTATAGGCTACTCGGAATTTTCAAGTGTTACATGCATGCTTTACTTGGACGGTTTTCTTTTTTGACCAATTTTATAAGCTACCAAAATATTGTGGTTTTTTTAAAATTTTGTTCTAAAATTATAAGTATATTTTATATGATTTATACTGGTTCTCAACGTTTTCAACAATGTAGACGAAAATTGGAAAAAAATTTTCCGCTTAGAGACACCTGAAAACTGATCAGTAAATCCAATGATGATCTCCCAGGCAGAAATAAATAACTATAATCCCGTTTTTGGTGAACTTTTGTATATTTTTTCTTGGCAACAATTTATTTTTCTAAGTGATTCCTACCCGGAATTTGGCTGGTTGTTCGCTGGTGAGGGTGACGTTGCTGTAACAGGTGTCGCATGTCTCCCCATTCACATACACCACAAAGAAGAACTCATCCTCCGCCAGTTCACGGGAAAAGGTAGCCAGAATGGACACCTAAATAGGAACAAAATGATTTCATCGTGACCAGAATCAAATCTACAAATTTTGGGGGTCCAAGTTTTCAAAATTTTTGAAAAGTACTTTGAGCATCTTGATTTTCGAGCTCTCTCAAAGAAATAAAAAATCTTTTTAGTACAAATTTCTTTTTTTTTGATGAAAAAAAATTATAACCAGTTTTTGGGCATTTTTGGACGATATTGACTGATAAGAAGAACCGTTTCTGGCGCCTCACCTTCTCAAAAATTATGCAATCTAAAACTCCTTTGGAAAATTTCAAGGGTTGGAAAACGAAAAGGTGGCGTTGAATGGTACATAACAGAACCTTGATCGCCCACTAAGTTCAACTCTTCTCCGATTGAGACTAAAGTTTTTGTCAAAACAAAACCAACTTGATTTCAAAAATGGTTTCTACTTTGTGACAACGTTTTCTTGTTTCTCCCCAGGACGTTTCCCCCTTGCCGCTATACCCGCTCCCCTTCCTACATTGCTTTTTTAAACGCTCAGATGGTAAAATTTATCAGTAAAAATAAACTGAAGAGTCTGTTTTATAATATTAAATTGTTTCCAAGTGAAGTAAGTCATTACACGTACAGAAGTATAAATAAAGAGTTTTTTTTACAAAAACATCACTTGAGAGAGCGCCGTCAGACTAAATTAAGCCTGTTTTCTAAGTTTTCTGATTAAGTTATTTAATTTATTGTGTTTCTTGCGAAGTTTTCGGGTGCGTTTATAAATACACACACTGCATTACAAATGTTGCTTGCGTTTTGTTTAGTGATGACCCAAAATAAGAGTTAAGGTTTGAGTGGTAGAACTACTAAGTTTAATTAATTTTGAACAATTTTGTCTGAAAAAAAGTCTCATTAAATTCAATCTAAATCGATTAACCACCCGGGTTGACGTCGATGTAAGAAAAATACCTACCATAAAATTTTATATGTGAAGACTATGGAAAAAATGCTTGCCAAACAATTTTCATAGAAAAAAATTGTATGACAAGCAACTTTTCAATGAAATTTTTTTTCAAAAATTATCGCAAACTGGCTTAAAACTCGAGCAAATTAAGTTGGTGGCAGTTTTGGTTACATGAGAGCAACTTTAGTACCATTAAAAATTTTTGGTAAAAAAAAGCTGATCATACAATTTAAAATACGATAATTGTATGATATGCTATTTTTCCAGAAAATAGATACAAAGTTGATGTAAAATTTGTTTAATCCTTTTTTGATAGACAACTTTGATTGTAGAAAAAAAATGCCTGCAAAATTTGACACTTTGTATTGATAACGTAGTCAAGGTTGAGATTTTCACCCGAAAAATGCAAAAAAGCACAAGCAAGTAATTTTTTTAAAAATTTTAGTATATTTTTGGGTTTTGTATGCTATGTTAATTATGAATATGTTAAAAAAACAGGCCTTTTTCCTCAGCCGCCAAAATTTCAAAGAAACCGTTTTCTAGACGTATACAAAAAGTTAATTTTTTGGTATTTATTTCTACTTGAAAAGATTAACATTATCTAACATGGCTAATATCACCCATTGCAGTTTACTTCTGTGCTAACTGCCAGTTAAACTCTAGGTTTTCTAATTACAGAAAATCTTTGATTAGTTTGTTTCGGTTGAAACACAAAATTTCAAAAAATAATTTTTTATATTTGTAAGGGTAAAATGTTTATCATACAATTTCATAGAATGGAAAAAAATGCTTGCCATACAATTTCATAGTACAAAGAATTGCTTTCGCTATTTTCGTAAAATTATTCGTTAGCAAGTATGGCAATATATTGTTAATTTATTTTAGAAATTGACAAAAAATGCTTAATTTATTTTTTCATGCAATTTTTTCAGTCCATGAAATTGTATGACAAGAATTTTTTTAGAATGAAATTTTATCTACATACCGAATTGATCCCCGCAGATCCTTAAGAATGACGTAGATAATTAATTACCCATATTTTTAATAAAGTTATATATTTTTAAATTCTGAAACTAGTTTTTAGGCTGTGATATTGCAAATTTTGGCGTTCGAAATTCGAGAATCTGGCGCATGTTGGCCTGCAATTCAGATTAAAAATTCTAAGCTTTTTGAAGTACATATCCAGCTAAAAATGGGTAGTTTGTAATGGTAGCCAAAGAATGGGTTATAGGTAATGGTCTGAATCTTTTTGAAATTTTACGATAAAATCTTACTTTATTTTACTAATTTTACTTTATTTTTCTAGCCTTTTTCTTGAATTTTGAGCAACAAGAATGTTTCTTTCAAGTTAAATCCAGTTTAGTTGTGATAATAGGCATTTAAAAGGGTTATGTTGTTGAATGAAGAAAATCTACAAAAACAGGGGGTTCAAAAACAGGGGGTTCTTCCATATCTCTAATTTCATCCAGTCAGACCAACTGTTGAACTATAATATTGTAAAACCATGATTTAACCTGCGGTCCGTCGATTTATTCAAAATTTTCAACAAAAATTCTGAAAAACTTCTTTGGAAAATCATTTTTTAAGCAATATTTTGCAAAATGACTGTAGTCAAACCGTTTTACGTTAATTGCAGAGATGTAAGATGTTTGTTGCAACTTTTATAATTACTCTCTTCCTCTCCCCTTTTATTTCAATGGGGGGACTCGTTTTTAAGCACAAAACTCACATATGCGTAACCATTAACCTATGGACTTTTTTTCGTTCCCACACAAGCAAAAATTAAAGAGAATTTTTTTCCTGTTCACAATGTCCGATTGTTATAATAACTGGCATGAGGTCTAATTAAACACATTTGTTCTTCAAATTTAAACTTGTAAAACCCCTCGTTACACTATAAAACACCATAAAGTTGATACTTATGTGAGGTGAGATGGCGAAACAGCCAGCCTATCTATTCGTTACTAGGTACGATAGGGGGAGGGGGGTTAAAGAGATCTGATTGTTTAGTTGAGTGTTTCTACCTTGAAGTTGGCTTTATTGGCACTGGTGACACTGATGGGAACCCATTCTGCAGTGGCTGTTGTAGTGGCACCCATTGTGACGTCATCAGCCTCCATGTTGAAGCTAGACTGCAGTGGTACACAGGAAGATCCACTGGAAAAAAATCATGAACAGTTCAAAAAAGAAATCTGTAATTAACTTGGTTTCCCCTGTATCTAGTTGGGGAAACCAAAAACTAAAATTGTTGTCGAATTTTTTTCAAATTGATCAAATTTGGTTTTTCGAGCCCTCCTTAAGCACTACAAAGACCATAATTTTTCAAAATATCTGCGCAAAAGTTTTTCAAAGATCGTGGCCAAAATGACGTTTTTAGGCATCTTTTGGAAGTATTTGCCAAAAAAAAAACATTTTTGGTGCGTCTCCGCGACTTTGATGTCTTTAGTAATTTTATCAGTCATCCTAAAATTTTTGCACGGTTCTCTTCCAATAAACTTATTTGTATGGTTGTACAAAAGTTTATGTATTTGTTCTCAAAGTGGCAAAGCGGGGAGTTTTGGGCGGCAAGAGTGTCAAAACTCAATCGAACAATATGAACAGATGTGAAATGTTTATTAATTCATTTAATAAGACTTGCAGAGGAGGTGAAATTAAAAGATCCAAGAGGTGCTTACACTTCCTCCAGCAAAATAGCGGGTCTGACATCTACGAGGGCGTCAGAGGGGAAGGTGAGTTGAGCAGTCACGTGGAAGCCGTTCTCACTCGTCGCCTCTGCGTAGGGGATGAAGAGGGCACTGGCGGCGAAACTGAGACCCCACTGGGGACCCACGTAGTCAAAGCTCACATTCACAGAGCGGAACTGGAATGAAGGTGAACAAAGGATAGAAAAATATGGATACTTAGTTGCGGATAGTCTTCTAAGCTCGCAGTTTCTTTATCGAACTTTAAAAAACGATTATCACGTTAGATAAGGAACTAGTTTTGCGAGATATATAATCATATGCTCAAATGCTCGCAAGAGATCTTCGAAAAATTATCCAAAAAGATGACTTTCAAAAGTTAAAGCGAACTTCAGTCGTGACCAAATTCCTATAAACCACTTAAATTTTTTGATTTCGTTGAAAATCATGCATCAATTTTTGTATGCCGATGCCGATCAATAACACAATTTCAGAAAAGGAGGAGCAATATCCCTCCCGCTCCCCCCAAAGACAGTCTCTACCTGACTTAGCCCAAGTTTTCATTATCAACTGTCAATTGAACAGTACCTCGTGTATGCCTCCATCCCAGCCAGTGAGCCGAGTGGTTGAGGAGTCCTTGACGACTGTGGGTCTGTCCCCCTCGGAGTCGACAGTGTACTCTATGAACTCGGACATGCTGGCCCCGAAGTCACTGTTGCGGGTCATGAAGGTCACCACGAAGTGGATCTCGTCCAGAGGACCTGAATTGAGAAACAAGTGTCGGATGCAGAAAGTATTCACAAAATTTTATTGAAAAACAAGTGATCATTTGATTTGTTTTGTGCTTACAATTGTATGAAATGAGCGAATAAAGCATTAAAACAGACATTTTTTTATTATGAAAACTGCTCAAATGAATATTCGTAATTTTCTTAGATTATTTAAACGAGCAAACCTTTCGATAGCAGTTTTTGAAGTTAATTGCTGATATTCTGCTGAATAATTGCTAAAAATCAAGGACTTCGAGACATTTTTTTTGGATCTGATGCTAAAATTATAAATAACTTTTCTATAATTTTGATGATTTCTTTTATATATTTCAATTATTTTGGTAATCTTAGATTCTTTTTAGTTCTTTTCCATCGCCATATGTAAGAATCATTCGAGTCTTACACGAAAGTTTTTCCGGCTAAGTAACAAAATCAGACCGTTTTTTGTCTTACAACTTTTGAATTAGGTCTATAATTTAAATAGAAGGGTCTATAAAAAAATAGCTCCATTTTTCTGCCTTTGAAACAAATTTGGTTTTCTCCATAATTTAATTTTAATTTAGTTCACACCTGCGGCGCCGACTTTGGTGAGGGGTCCGAAGTCGATAGTGACAGTGTGTTTGCATACAGTATCGTTGTAGGGTGGCTGAAATGTGATCTCGTGTTGGGGGAATTCAGTTCCATAGCAACCCAAGAATGACGTGTCCATGAACAGCACGCCTGAAATTACGGCAAAGGGTTTTCTTAGCACTACGACGGTACTATGAAAATATCAGGGAATTGAGATGTGTACACAAAAAGACGAACAGCCATTATCAATGCGATCAACGATTTGTTTGATGAGGATGATTTCGGAGACTAAAAATGACGTCTTTGGATGTTTATGGCACAAAACGCATGTATTCGGCGTCCCAAAAAATTAGTGAATATTGGCGCCAAATATGAATGTTGAGGTTGATTTTGAGTCCAAAGTTGTCACAAAATTTTACCAAATAGTACCCTTTGGTTGATCAGAAAATCAAACCAAGAAAAAAAGAATCAAATAAACAAGAATTGCCGGATGCTTTGCAGTCCGATTAACATGGTCTCAGTAACGCAAATAAACATTTAAGAAAAAATGAAAAACATTCAAATTTGCTTTCTGAAAAAACAGGGCGACCAACTTTTTTTTAGAAATGCACAAAGCGAAGTTATTATGGCTGAATTAGCGTAAATAATGCAGGAGAAATGTATTGAATGCAGGAGTGAATCTAGGACTTTTGCAAGAGGGGCGTTATTTTTAAAACATAATAATAAGAGCACCAGCGGATTTTGGGGGGGGGGGTTGCGGACGTTTCTTTTTCTTCAGGGATTCGACCCCCTGCCGACACTTAGTACTAATTTGAGATATCCATTTTTGGCTGACGAAACCTAAAACTTTTTTGAAGGCGCCTTTCGCCCCAAAATTTACTAATTTTGATGGGGAAGTGAGCGCCAAAAAAAACTTTTTTTTAAAATTTATCAAAAACTTTTTAAAAATTTTTGGCTTGTTTTTTTTTTTAATTTTGCCTGCGGCGCCAAAAATTGGGCCAAAACAGTGTCTTTAGGAGAGCTCGGAAATTGAAGTTAGTCAACCTAAACAAAAAAGGGCTGAAAAAATTTTACAGAAAATTCTAGAACCGCCCTCTGAACAAGAGAATAAATGAAAGTAAGATTCAACAGAAAAATGAAGCTTAATTATACCACTTGAGTGAGCAGTTTTTGGTGGTAAATCTGTCTTTTGATGGCAAATTGTGTCAAGTCGATTTTCACAAATCAAAACTTTGCTGGCTTTCAACAGCAAAGGATCAGCGCAGAAAGACTCTTTAAAAATATGGAAAAATATAAGAGGTGCCTTTGATCTGCGTTTGATCTGCCTAAATGCGCTACTGGTAGAGTGGCACTGAAATTGATGTCAAAATCACAAAAACAGCGCGTCCACCCCTCCCCCCCCCCCCCCTTCGCCGCCTAAGTCCTAAGTGCACTACTGGTTGGGTGTCACTAAAATCTGCGCGATCTCACTCCTGATGAAGTTTACTGTGGCACCGTTATCTACAAAAGCTACCTCTTGCCTACGACCTACACAAGCATCTGCAACTAATACAGAAGGTGTTTTGGGTAAATAAAAAGGCATGAAAAACTCGAAATATGTATCTTGCGGTCTAGATGTCAAAATAAATGCCTTCATTTAAATCAAGTTGGGAGATCGAACAAGGATTTATCCGTGCTGAAGTTATAATTCGACTGTGCTCGGCCAAAGTTTTCACAAGGTTTCGATCGTGCTTGCGGTACGCCATAACGCTGCTCGAGGTATGTTTCGAGCGTGCTGGGCGAAATATTTCAATTTCTTCACACCGTGCTCATTGTAGGATTAGCTCGTGGAATGTGCTCTACGTATGGTTTCACCATGTTGGAACGAATATTTCGATTCGTATCTACCGTGCTCGCAGCTTGTTTCTAACGTCCTCGGTGCATGTTTCGACCATTTAAAGTGTTTTTTGACCATATTCGTGGTTCTTTATACCTGGCTCGACGTATGTTTTAACAGCGCTCGAGATAAGTTTCGACCGCACTCGATGCATGTTTTGATCGAGCTCAGTCAAAAATTTTGGCTCTTTTTCATTTTTACATTTGAAGTTACTGTTCACTTTGTCCGATTGTCGTAAGAATTGACATGCGGACTAATTAGGCTATAACAAGCATATTTGGTCTTCATAATTAACCTTGTAAAACTCTTCGTTAGACCATAAAATTCATGTTTGAGTGAGGTGGGGGGGGGGGGGGGGGGGGGGAGGAAAAAGAGCCAAAATTTTGATACGTTTCGTTTTCGCTTGAGGTATCCTTTGACCTTGCTCGGGGTAAATTTTTTACTGTGCTTGAACTAAATTTTCTATATGTTTCCATCGTGCTCCAGCTATGTTTCGACTGTGCTCGAGATATGTTTCGGCCGTGCTCGATGTATTTTTCGTCCGTGATCGAGCGATTCATTTGATCAGCTTCTATCGTGCTCGAGCTCTGTTTTGACTGTGCTCGAGGTAAGTTTCGAACGCGTCGAGGTGTTGTTTGACAAGATGCGACCAAAAGTTTTGATTTGATTCGACCTTGCTCAAATTTGTTTGGAATATGCTCAACCTAATATTTCCATATGTTTTGACCTAGCTTGTTTGAAAACTTTGATAAGTGTTGTTTGTTATCGAGTTATACCTTGACCGTACTTGAGGCATATTTCTACTCTGCTCGACCAAAAGTTTCTAAATGCGCCAACAGTGCTCGAGATCTGTTTCATTCGAGCGTGCTCGAGGTATGCTAACGGCCCTGATTAAAAATGGTTTCAGTTTGTTTCGACCGTTCTCAAGCTATGTTTCAACCAACTCAGCCGAAAAGTTTAATTGTACTCGAGTTTAATTGTACTGACATTTTATTTCAATCTAATTCGACCATGCTGGCACTCTGTTTCTAGGTATGTTTTGAGGAGTCGCGGTTTTCTTTGATCATCACTAACCAAACAATTGGATTTGATTCGACCTTACACAAGATTTGTTTTGAAAGTTCTGAACCGATGATTTCTCAATAGTTCGATTGAGCTCGATTCAAAACTTTGATATAATTGGTTTGTGTTTTCACGGCCGTAATTCAGAGATTGTTTCGATCTGTTTTGACCGTGTTCGAGCTATGTTTCAATTGTCTTCGAGGTATGTTTTGACTGTACTCAAGATATGCTTCGACCAAGCTCTATTGAAAAGTTAGATCGCGCTCGTAGAATGTTTCTACTGTGCTCATTTTTTTCTTTATTGACCGTGCTAGTGTATTTCGAGCGTGCTCTAGGTGTTTAACGGCCGTGATTGAAAATCAGTTTCGATCTTTTTCGATTATGCTTGAGTTATTTTTCGAGGCAGGTTTCGAAATTCTCGTGGTATTGTTTGAAAAGCAACAGCCTCCAATATATCTGCATAGACCTGCAACGTTTCATTTGTCTCAGATGCCCATTTGAGTAATTTCCTTTTGAAAGACGAGGCCCAAAAATTTACACCCGTCAAGATTAGTAGCGTTTCAACAATTTTATTGAAAAATGAATGCAAAATTTCTGGAAAAGAAAACAGATATTTTCCCACTTCATCTGATTTGTCTAAATTCGTCCCTATGTTTCGAATATGATAGACAAAAAATCCATCTTTGCAATCTTTATATTGCGCGTGCGCTCAAGGTATGTTGCTACCGTTCTTGAGGTAGGTTGCTATGCTACCGTGCTCAACAAACAGTATCCATATATTTCGACCGTGCTCGCGGTTTGATTTGATCGTGGCCCACCATAAATTTCGTTATGCTTTGATTCTGCTCGAATATGTTTCCCGTACTGGCACGAAATGGATTGCAATCATTTTCAAGCAGATATTTTATCAAAGACCTCAGAATTCGATTAGAGTTGGTTTAAAATTGATTTATTTTGATTCAAAAATGTCGCTTAAAAATTTACTTTTAATCGATTCTAAACCAATTTCAATCTAGGTTTTGGCGTTTTATTTGGTTTCTTTTCCATACAGATTCTAGTCACAATCGATGTATATCCATTTTTATTTCATATTCAATTTATACAGATTAAATTCAGATTTTTTCGACAATCAATCATTACAAAAAGTTGGTTATTTTTGGTGCTGATTTTTGACTTGAAAAATAAAATGAGTATAACTATTTAGTAAACTTTTTTGCATCAGGAATGATTTTTTGTAAATTAATTTTTGTTCCGACTTTCGATACGAAAGTAACGGAATATTTGTGCTCGGGGTGGGTTTTTTTTTCTTCAGACAAATTTCGATTTTTTAACTAGCCATTTTCGACGGATTTTTTAATATCATTCAAAAGGTATTGTTGTCCTGAGCTTAAATTTGAAAAGATATTTCACCTATGATTATTTTTCGTAAAGTTATGAGGGTTCAAAGATTGCCATTTTGGCCATTTTGACCAATTTGGGACAATTAACGCGCGATATATAATTCACGCTATTAACGCGTAAGCGGAGGTTTAATCCGTCTTAAAAATCGTTCCAAATTGGTTGAACGAAGCTTATTTGCCATAATTGGTTGTTACAAGGAACGAATTCTATCTTTTTGTACTTTATATGGCGTGTGGGGGGATAATTTTCATAAAAAATTTCAAATTTTAGAAAAAAAATTTTATTTTATTTCATTTCTTTTTTTAATGTTATTACTGCTGCTCCATAAACCTTAAAAGGCAGTCGGAACATTCAGGGCTTCGCCCTAATACGAGCAGTTTTGTTAACTTTAATTATTAGTTGTTCAATCGCAAACCGAATTGCCAAATACTAAACCATCATGGATTGGTATCTTTTTCTGCAAGCTGCTTGGCACTTAAATCAATAAAAACAGCTTAAAATGATTCATCACCTCGTTGCTTGAATAGATAGGTTGCTTGACATTTTTAGTAATTTTAGAAATAGGTTCAACTTCTACCGGAAATGCTTCATTGATTGAATTACTTGTTACCCAATTAATAATTTTAATTAGCCAAATGAAGCTTGCAGAAACAACATAAAATATTTAAAACTATCTTTTTTCAAAATGCTTGCTGAGAAGTTTTTCAAAATTAGCCGAGCAGTTATTCTATCACAGCAAGTTCTTTATCATCACTGAGACTGCTGGATTAAATTTCCTTCAAAACAATCTAACTTTTACCAATTTAATTCA